AAACAAATGGCGGACAATTTGAATCATATTTCCGACGACGAAGAGTCAGAATGGCTGGCAAATATAGATCCAAGTTCATTAGATGAATCGAACGAAGAAAAACAGCTTGACGACCAGAAAATTTCTTCATTTAATGAAGAAAATAGAAACAGCAACACAACAACGCGCCAATTCCGTTCCGCTTCGCATACTTCTGTCACGCACTCCCCGTAAATAAATATCCGCGAAATTCGCCCGCACTGAAATAACAGTTTGGCGTGTTGGATAATAAATAACTTATTAGACGTTTTGTTGTGTAGTATCGCTGAGTATTTTTACTCGTTATTTGTATTTTGACTCGCCTTACGGGCTCGTCAAAATACGGCACGGGGGGCGAAATCGCTTGGGTGAGCCCAAATTTAATTCTCTCTCTAGTCTACGAAGGAATTCGAGACGTCAGTTCTTTAATCGACGGGCTTTTCGACCTTGTGTGTGCACTGTCGTTGATATGTCGTTTTTTTTTGTTTTTTTTTGTTTTTTTTTAATAATTTGTTTTCACAAGGATGCATTATCCTGGGATTAGGTCGTCTTAATGCAAATAACTATTAATGGGGTGAGAAAAGGCGTTTGTTGTTGTGAGGTGTTTGATCTAAGGGGCTCATTTCATTGTGATTTAACGAGTTCAGATATTGAAATCATTGCAATAAGCTATTGTGGTGTGACTTTTCCAGTGGTGCCAGAGTCAAACGCGATAGCTGCTGTAATTCTACTGTGACATTTGTAAGAAGTCTTGGAGGGAAGCGAAACGCAATGTGTTGTTCTTGCTCCTGTTTTAGTGAGACCTTGACTCGGTCCGTGATAGTATGGTTATTTTTCCATTTAGTGCCTACGAGGTGATCAAACTGAAGGGTTATACATCCTGGGCCATTGGTTTGAGTGTTTCCACCATGACTCAAGCGTTGCTAAGGAACCAGAAGAACGTACATGCTATTTCCACCCTAGCTAAGGTAAGCTATAACACGAAGAGTAAAGCTGAAACATCAAGAAATTACTCTCCCCTGGATGGGATGCTAGTCCGCTTTAAGGTTACCCCCCTGCCCCGGTAGGTCATAAGGCTTCCCTGATTATATTCGCCTTCACACATTCTTACTATTTGGCGGAGAGGGGCAATGTGAGAGTAACGTGTTATTCCACAAGCGAGATATGTGTCTCTCGAGACAAGTACTCTTGGTTAATGATCTCTGAAAATTTGCTCTATTAATCGACTAAATCTCATCCAAAGCTGTTTCGTTTCAGGGTTTTCACGGAATCGAAGATGACGTGTTTCTCAGCCTTCCTTGCGTCCTCGGCTCCCATGGTGTCATGTACGTGATCAAACAGACTTTGGACGAAAACGAGACAAAGCAACTTCAGACCTGCGCGCGCACAATGAACGAGCTTCAGCAGAGTCTTCAGTTTTGAGAATATAGTAGTTGTCGCTGTAAAATCATTACTGTAAGTTATATATAGAAGATGACGAAGTCATGAGAGCTGTTCATAAGTTATTATTTGCTAACTGCAGTCCTTCCTTTTTGGAGTCCGTCGCGCGAGTCAAAAAATTCAGCGAAGCAAATCAATGCTAGCGCGCCGCGCCTCATTCCCAAAATTCCAATTCATTTTTTCAGTGTTTTTTTTTTTTTATTTTTGGGAATCGCGCGACGGATTTTGTCGAAAAGCAGGGACTTTCGTAGTTCACTCTTGCTTCTCCTCAAAAGGAGAGTGAGGAAGAGAAATTGCTCTAATTGTAACGATGGAATATATTAACGTCAGCTTGTTGTGCTCAACTGAGTCTGTAGATGTACTACCGTGACTTAAAATTTAAATAAAGCGAAAGCGAAACAAAACTTTATTTATTGAAAGAAATTTATGTACAAACATACTGCGCTATATATATATAAAAAAGTTCTTGTCGTGTTACAAAAATAAATAATCATCAAATCTCAAATGAATGCCGCGAACGAATTACTCTCGTTGAAATTTCCAAAGTATAAAAATATCCACTTGTAACGATACGAGAACAATAGCAATAATTGTAGTTCTAATCAATTATATTATTACCATGGAACAGAACCTTAGCGAGTTGTTTTTGAAGCAAACATGCAACACGGAAAGAGCAACTTTAAACAGTGTGTATTTTCTGACAATATCTCCAACGAGAAAATAGTCGAAGGACCTAACTTCTGTCTGTCGCTCCTTCCCGAGTTTCATGGTCAAATCTGATTTCGCCACGAATAACAATATGAATTACAACGTGGCAGTTTCAACTAGAACAAACAACTTCATTACAACAACGAAAAGTACTCTCTTAAATTTCTCCTGGCCTCTTTTGCATTTCTCATAAACCAGATTATTTCTATTTTACCATCACTCGCTACCTGTGGCTTTCATTCAAACCACCGTCTTAAGTAGGTGACAAAGTACAGACGCATTGCAGACCTATGTTGAAACGATGTGTTCTTCCTTTACCACCTCGACCACGTTTAGCTCATCCGCCTCCATTTCCGATTGGTGGTGCCCAGATCCATCTTGACTCGGATTTTCAAGGAAGTTATGAACGAAGTTTTGGATTTCCCCTCTAGCTTCTGTCACGGAAAAAAGATCACTGAGTAAAATGCACCAATTGCTAACGCTGTCATTACAAATACATGAAAACATGGTCGCTGTAAACTTTGGCGAAGAAACTTTTCCAAAGACATTTGTAAACCATCCACACCCGAACATCAGTATGCATATTCTCCATAATGTTGTATATTATTCCTCTAGTGCTGACTAGGAGAATTTGTTTATCATTGACAGATCCTTTGTTTTTTTTATCATTTCCTTTATTCTAATGGCCGTAATGTTATATTAAAGAGAAGAAAAGTACAGAGAAACAACATCCTTGTCACTTAAGAGTTTAAAAGGTTAAGAATACCCTGTTAAAAGAATTTTTTTTTTCCTCGAGCCTCTAACAATTTTCTCGAGATGATTCTTTTCATGTCATCCACAACAGAAAACTCCATCCTACACAGGTTTTCCTTTACAGGATTTCATCTTAATAACAAAATGGCGAGTGAGCTTTTGGACTTGTCGTCTTGCTTCATCTAAATTGGATCTTTTTTTTTAAGGGAAAACTCGCTGACAATGTACAAAGAAAAACTTGCGCGTGTCACGCACCTAGCTTACCTTTGAGCTTCCTCTCAGCTTCAATCTTAGCGCATCGTTCTTTCTCCAGCTCTTGAAGTAACTCATCTACAAAAAGCGACAGAAAGGAAAGCCGGCAAAAATCGATTAAAGAAAACCGAAGAGAAGTGAACTATCTATGTTACCCTCAAGTAATCAGACGTGGGATTTGAAGGCTCATTAAAACTGAGTGTGGGTCTTAAGCCCACCTTGGTATCACTCCACCCCAGTCTCCCTCTCTCCCTTCTAGCATGCATGGAACATGACCCCATGACCCCATCGCACTCCCCGTAAATAAACATCCGCGAAATTCGCCCGCACTGAAATAACAGTTTGGCGTGTTGGATAATAAATAACTTATTAGACGTTTTGTTGTGTAGTATCGCTGAGTATTTTTACTCGTTATTTGTATTTTGACTCGCCCTACGGGCTCGTCAAAATACGGCACAACTCGTAAAAATACTCAGCGATACTACACAACAAAACGTCTAATAAGNATGCAGCGCGCACGTACTGTTGGTAAATCACTAGGCAGTTGGGTGAACTTCTTTCACGAACTCTGCGTGTTTGGCTAGCTTACCGTTTCGCTGTTTAAGTGCATCTTGGGTCGTTTGTCTCAGCTGTTCTTCAAGCAGTTCACATCGTTGTTGCTCCTCTGGTAAAATTTGAAGGAAAAGAATCAGACTCAACGTTCCACCTAAACTTCGTTAAACTCTAATATCCTACCATCACTTTGCAAAATCTCCATACTATACGTTTCCTATAAAGCTTACAAGGAGAATTTCCTTAACATTCTGGGCTTCTTGACCGCGGATTAACTCCTTTATTCTCCTGACCTTAATGTTTGATTCTGGAGTGATCGCGTTGGGAGAAGTTAGACACTCATCCCTTTCAAGTGTTAAGAGATGTGAGAGAGAAATAAAGCAAATATTATAATCTTCTAATGAGAGAGATGAAGACAGAACAAGGAATATTAACTTTCCCAGTCGTTGACAAAAGTGTAAAAGAAAAGGGCTTATCATGATTTCGTACCAATTCAAAAGACCAAGTGAACTTTTATTCTTTCGTTTTCAGTGGCTTAACTTTTAGTTAAAACGGTGGCCCCCCAAGATATTTTTCGCACCTTGTCTGAAAAATTTCTAAATTTTTAATAACTTCGATGTTCCTATTCACAGGTCCGGCCATGCCTTCATGGTCATTGGCCCCCGTAATAACCGCTAACTATGGCTTATAAACACAGGGGTTTAATGTTAACCTGTTAAACTCTTTGAAGAAGTCTATGAAAGTAAGGCGAAATGCATCAAAGAATAAAGAGGTTTTAGAACTATTGTTCGCAGAGTGCTGCTCACTACTTTAGTATGAAAAAAATACTTCAACCGTCAATTAACCTATTCAATTAATTTCTCACAAATAAAACAGTCGCTGATTTGCAAGAATTGAACGGAGAACTCAGAAACATTAACTTACCAAGAAGTTGTTCAGCGAGCTTGCGCCTCGCTCTCTTTTCTTTCTTGAGTTTCTTTTGAAGAAAAGCTGAGGAAAAAGAGCAGGAATGTAAGTGTTAAAGCTGTAATCAGCCACACAAGTCTTAACAAATTCATTAATTACTTCATTAATGCATGCTTTTCTCTTCAAACTGAAACGTAGACACCCATGCTGTGCTCAACAGACAGAGTTTCAAAACATAAAGGCTGATGGTTTCTAAAGAAACTGTTTCGGGCTGCGTCGGTGGGGGTAACGAAATAATTTCAATTTATCAAAAACTAGATAATTGGATAATGTAATTCAAGACTTTTTATTGGCTTAGCCATTATGGTATATGAGCCAATTACCATAATCTACAAATATGGTAAGCGTACGCGTCTGCTTAAAATCAAGAGGGAGCGAAAAAATCCGGTTTCTTCTTACAAAATAATAATTTTTTGGGGGGCGTTTTTAATAAAACAATTATTCCACTCGCGCTTGAGTTGGATATGAGATGATTATAGCCAACTCGGCGCTACGCGCCTCGTTGTCTATCTATCATCTCATATCCAACGCGCGCTCGTGGAATAATTGTTAAATATCAACAAAGTTGAAATGGTAAATTGGTCACCGTTACGATTATAAAAGCTGACGTTTCGAGCGTTAGCCCTTTGTCGGAGCGAAGGGCTAACGCTCGAAACGTCAGCTTTTATAATCGTAATGGTGGCCAATTTACCATTTCAACTTTGTTGATATATTGAAATTATAGAGTTTCGAAACAGCCGGTGGCAATGACGTGCACAATCCTGCTCGCGTTTACGTTTCTACGTCACGGTTCATGCATCTTGAAAAAAGTCTGCAACGCGCACACGTGTGGGAGTAGAATCGCAAGATTTGCAAGTATGGAGTTAAGTTTGCGAAATAGTTCATATTCTAGCAAGTAGCTCATTTAATATCGAGTTATAGCAATGAAAATAATCACGAACTAAAGCCCCATGCGGCTCACCACGCATTAATTAGACTGACTTAGCAAAAGGATGCGAGAGCTGGGGTTGGAACTTTTAGACCGAGATTGAGGGTGCAATCACTGGCGCCGAATTACGCCTAACGGGATTGATTTAGCCTGGACTTCAAGAGAAATATGACAAGTTTGAATTTAAGTACACTGTCGTCAATTTTCGCGAGTGAATGTAATTTCTCGTGTTTGATGAGGGAGACGGTAATTCAAAATAACCTGAAGTTCAACTCAAAGCAATCCTTCCATTCTTTGAAGTTTTCACTACCTTCCCTCTGGCAAAATCGATACACCTTACCACGAACAGAGGATGGAAATAAAAATTTACCGGAGTCTTTCCTTAATATAACTCTCACTTCTGAAAACTACCATAATGGAAACTGTGTGGCAGTTTGGTAATGCAATAAACAGTGACATCTTGGCCATGAGTAGGCTTGGGGATGATGAATGATGGTCCAAAGGAAGATTTATGTTTACCTTTCCCTCTCTGCATTGCTGCGGATTGTCTTTCCGCTTTCTCTTTAGCCTCACGCTCGCGATGAATATATCGGCGAAGTTCGTCTGAGAAAAAAGCGACAAAACAAAACCGAAAAAAAAAAATTGGCATACTCGATGAGACGACATTGAGCTAGAATAGGAACCGCACCGTATTTCATAAATGACGTTACTAACTTCTTTCGTAAACAGCTTGTCTCTCGTTCTGTCTCGTGTTTTCTGCAGCCACCTTCAGTAGACCCTGTATGTTCAACAGAAGACTTTCTGCAAAAGGACAAAGTCAGTGATAATATAAGCAATGAATCAAATGACCATCTTGTAGTGAAAAATTCGTTTATAGTTCTGTTGAAGTTACGTTCTGAAAATCACAGCTAAAACTAACCTGTGGATCCAGGTTCTCTGAATTCAGGCTGAGAAAGAAAAGTAACATAAATTGATAATAGCATCTAATTAATTGTAACTGAGTATCGATAAATCTCTTACTAGAGAGATTTAGCACCGTGTTTACGTGAAACGGCAAACGTCAGTTTGCTCTTTCACGTTTCACGTAAAATGGCGTGAACCCTGCTGCTTTAGCTTCGCATGAGCTTACGTCATGGTGTATTTGCGCCCTTGTATGACTCACAAGAAATAGTTTTGGTGCCCTTTTCCAGCAATTAAGTCTTACTCTGTGGAAGAAAGTGTGAAAAAAATGTTATGTACACGGCAAACGTGAAACAGGTCACTTTCAAGTAGAAACGGCAAAGCGCAACGAGCAAACGTGAAAAAATGGCGGGAAAAAACAAAGTCACGTGGTCACTCTTGGTGTTCACGCTTTACGTAATCGCGGTGCTAAATCTCTCTTTTGTCTCAGTTACAAACCTCTCGAGATAGCACATGTGGCGAGGAGGCTGATTTTTCAGAACCTGTATCATTAGCAGCGGCACTCCTGAACTCCACATGCTCAGATGTGCCAGTGCTGCTGACATGAGGTACCGAGGCTTCAACATTCACTGCCTCTCCCACACTAGGAGATCTCCCTGGGCTGCGATTAGCCGGCATTGCTGACGTGCCAGTGTTGGGTGGAGCGCCGTTCATTACTGGACTCAACCCATTTCCTTGCGGGCTCAAAGACGCTTGAGGACGAGGTGGAAAGTTGAACGCACACGACTGAGAATTGGGCGCCACAGCAACACCGCTGGGCGGGCTAATGATCCGTGATGGTGGAGCGTTCGTTGGAGAGTGAATTACATGCGTGGTGGAATATCGCGGGCTCCCATGAAGACGAGGCGACGCGAGATTGGATGCCGTCATATTCAGAGTGCGCTCAGGCGGTCGGGAAATGGGCGTCCTGAACTGCAAGTCTTTCCTTTCAGCCTCAGTTGAATTGTTGTTGGCATCACGTGACCCTTCGAACGTCATAGCTCCGCCAGCGTTGGGCGACGAATCACCTGAAATGGACTTGTTCATATCGTCTGTTTTCATTGGTTCTCCGTTTGACACGCTGACAGGTCTGTCAGCGTGATGATCAACTTTAAAATGCTTGAACGGATTGTTTAGCAGCTCGGGAGGAATATCGGGATTCTTTTTGCGTCGGCCTGGGCCCCTGAGGCAAAAAAATTAAATCGGATAAGAAATATACCTTCCCCTGATGAATACCTTCCCTCCGAAAAAACTACTCTTTCCTAAACCTCCGCCCCTTTCTTTGACAAGTTGTCTGCCATTAAGGAATTCGACTCACTTGACTGTCAGACCGAGCAGAAAAGATGGAGAATGTCTTTTTGCTCATTGCTGTCTCATGAAATACTATGGAAACTGGAAAACCCGGATTGCTGTTTTTTAGGTGGAACTGATATACTCGGATCATAATTTACTATGTTCAGGTTATCGATGAGGTAAAAGTTTAAGTTATTTTCTAGGGGTGAAGTAAATAATGCTCAGTCAATTGTCAGCTTAATTAGTAGTTGCGGATCATGATACGATACGATCAGTGGCTACACAAACAAAGCGAGGCCGAACTGAAGGTCTAGAGTTATTTTCAGGAAACAATACAACTCTGCTGTGGTTTAAGCTAAAATATAAGGTTAACCATCATTTTTCTTTTTGCAGATAATTCACATTCCGTCTGAGGAAAGAAATCATAAAATTTCCAACTTCAAAACCGTTTTATAAACCTCACTAAAAGAGCTAAGGATAGCTTGGGGTTTGAAAATGTCCTAGAATACTACTAAAAATTCTCACTTCCACCTACGATGGATTTGTTTTAAAATTGTCTTTTTAAAACGTTCGCATGTAGTCTGAATCATGATATTACGTTCACCTTTCCATTAGGTTATCGATCCCACCGAATTTCATTACGACTTTCAGAAGAAACAATATTAAAGCACACTTGTACAATATTCTTTTTCGTCTTGCTCGACTGTTTGGAATCTTCTCTCGTTCCTGATTAAACAAATACATCTCACTAAATGATTATAAATGGCTGTTTCATTATGTTCGCCACCTTTATGGTAAAAATGCCAACATCCCACAGCATATTTTCAATTTAACAGTTGAACGGGACATGTCAGAGAAATTTTTGAAGAACCGAAAAGCGAAAAATAATCCAAAACCTACTCATTAAGATCCACCTAATTCAAGCTGCAATATTTCCATTACATTCTTAATGTTTAGAGGTCATCTTTCGGCCTCTTTGAAAAAATTCCGAACAAAGTATTTTTGCATTAAAGCGTTTTGGAGATTTAAGTGTTTTAGGATGTTATTTACAAATACCACGTCCGTTGCTAGCCAGACCACAAGTGAGTGATATTTTTAAATATTTCTCTCCTTCCCTGCGCGTGGAATGTCAAACAATTTTTGCAAATTTTTCTCCTTAATCCGTATAGAAACATTCTCCTTCGAAGAAATAAATAAAATGCATCGAGAAAGCACCCAGGTAATTATCATGTTTAAGTCCCTTTAAATAATATCTCCGTTCTCATTGCCTGGAGTTTCTGATCTATCATCTGCATGCATTTCTGTGCGAACTTCAAATGCCTTACACTAGTATTTACTCCGACGATTCTGTTCACTAGCTTCGAACCTCTTTTTTAAAGTCTGTCCTCTACCACATTATAAAATGTTAGCCGCAAGGAAACTGCCGTGAAAGATATCGTTAAACTACAAAATGAACGTTATTCTTGACTAGTAATTCTATTCCTTTTGCTGAAATTTTTTATCCTGTTTTGGACAAACACGCCGAGTCGTGAAACTACAAAATGAACGTTATTCTTGACTAGTAATTCTATTCGTTTTGCTGAAATTTTTTATCCTGTTTTGGACAAACACGCCGAATCACACCGCGAATGGACAGGAGATGGGAACTGTAAAGTCTAATATTGTTGTTGAAGCAAACCGTTCGGAGCAAAGTCGTTTTGGGTTTACTGAAGAACTAATAATTGTTCTTTGAAATGAGAATCTAAGGAGGGTCCAATATTCGGCTAAAAAACAAAAACGAATTGTACTCTTACAACCAAAGCGCATGAAATGCACAACTCTTAAATAGTCAGGGCGCACAAATTTACAACCCCGGCTTGACATTCTGAATAAAGTCAAAACTACACTGAATTCACTTTCGTGAGGTTTATATAATTTTGAACTGAATTTGCGATAACTAAAATCTTCACATTATTCAAAAGTGTTCAACTCCTTCCTTTCCATGTTGAAGCTATGTACTTTAATCTACTAGTTTTAAATGGAGCTTGAGATGTCATTAAACTGATCTGTTTAATCAGCGGGCAAGTACAAAGTGGATTTGCACATGAGTATTTCCGTCTCTCGAATCGAAATCAAATTAACCAACAATTTGTACCTAAACTTCACGCAAAATCCCTTGAAAATAGAGAAATTTAAAAATAAGAAAGGCGATATTCTGGAGGAGAAAAATTGAATTGGGCAAGCAGCATTTGCAATCTCAATTTCTGAGTATGTCCTAAAGGAAACACAGCGAGTAATACATTTCGGTTGGAAAATTTGCGTGATTCTATTTTCGGATCCATTCTTTTGCTTTCATTCATCTCTCTTCTACTCAAAAGATTTGAATTCGATAGCGCTGTGGAACAAACTAATGAGCCGCTGGAATTAAACATTTTGATCTACAACTGATTGGAATTTTCGGAAACAATATTATCACGCAAGAAATTAACTTAAATAAAGATCTGTGTTCTCAGCTGGGCGATATTGCCCGCTCCGGATAACTCTCTCAGAGTTCCAGTTCGCATTTTTAGAGATTAAACAAAATGTCAAACCCTTGAAAGCTATATTAATTCGGCAAATGGCACGCATCAGCTAAACCACAACATTTATATAGCATCGCGCTTCGAATGACTTGTTTTTTATTTTTATCACGAAACGTTTGGCGTGTGGTTTCATGGCTCGGCCAAACTGCCATTCGCACAGGGAACAGTGCCATTTCACAGTGAAACCATTTTAGTGAAAAAATCGACGAAAACATTCCAACAAAACCCTTAACTGACATTTGAACAAATGTTTGTCTTTCAGCCACGAAATCGATTCCTTAAAAAACCACAAACTTGCATTCTTCGTTTTCAATAACTTTTTAGGGTTTGACCGGCAAAACTTGTAAATCACTGTATCATCTTTGGAATTGTATCAGAAAGAAGTAACTCGATTTACCTCGCCATGACATGGTGCGAAACAGGAGAAAACTAATAAAAGAAAAACAATAAGGCGTGTTCTTTACCATTTGGAATTAAGAGGGAACAGCCTACAAGCAGTAATTTTAAGCTGACCACGTTGCAACTGCCGCTTAATCATTCAATTTACGAGGGGAAAATACCGTTTTCGTGTCTCGACTTTTTGAGAAAACTCCGGAGAAGTGCTGCTACCGTTTCCAAGATTCAAAGAGGAGTTGCGCATGTCTAATGTTTAAAAAATAAATTTCAATCAAAGGTGGGGCTTCAAACCTGTTTTTTTTTTTTCTTTCTATCTTTGCTCCTGACATCTCCTTGCTTTGTTTATATATGGCTGTTTGTTTAGGCACAATTTCCTTCACGAGGTGAGATGCACCCAAGGGGCTCTTTAAGAGACCGGGCACCAAAACACAATTTCATGAGATTGACACTAGATGGATTGGATCGTTCCTTTTTTTTTTTCCTTCTGATTTTCCCGTGTCTATCTTTTGCTTAAGGGGGGCAAAAAAATAATTGATGAGTGAGATGGCGGAAGACAAAAGAAGTTTTCATAGCCTGAAAAGATGATTTTAAAAACCAAAGTATCAAAGGCTAACCGTGAAAAATGCGACTTCGCTCATTTCAAGATCCCTCATGTGTTCAAAAACCCGAAAATCCGCATTACCTTACGTTTTTAGTTTGAAACGTCACATAGATTTTGAATTGTCGACGCTTTTTGAAATTTAAATTAGAATGGAATTAAATAGAATGGAAAACTTTGATGAACATTTTCGGTAAACATAATGCTAATTCAAAGCTATCTGTTAAACACCAAATGACCCATTAAAAACTTTGAGTAAATTAACATAAACACTTTGTTTTCGACCCAAGTTTTCCTATTGCGAAAAGTAAACAAAGTGCCTTCGCATCCACCCAAAACAAAATCTACTTTTTCCCACTGTGGGATAAAACTGTTTGTCCAGGGCAGTTACAAAATCCAAATTAAGTCCTAATTTACGCCGCGGAATGAGTTGTATCCTCCCTAAACACAATAGAAAATCAGTCATTTAATAGCCAACAATGGCTTATTCAAAAAGTGTAATTAAACATTGTGGGGTTTCCAAACGAGTACGCACATTTATGCTTGTGAAATGATTAATTACGACAAACTCTTCATGAAAAATTCGGTACTTCGTTTAAGAATTTCAACTTAACTTATATCGAATTATAAACAAGCGGAGCTAGATGTTTCCAAATTATTGCAACGACCGCTGTTATTGTGCCTGATAATTTCTTACCTGTAAAGCAAACAATCTTCGTAAAGTCTGTTGAAATCTTCGCGCGAGATCAACTTGCAGCGATTTACGACTTGACCTATGGCTCCAACACTTCGCATCATGCGGACTTGCTCCACGTTGCAGTTCTTTCCTTGAATATTCATCCTTTTGAGTTTTGTGTACACAGTGTGCATTCCAGAAACAAGATCCTTCAAAAAATACTCATACACTTGCGGAAAGCAAAGCAAATCTTCTCCTTCGACGTTGAAGGCGGCGATTTCTTCCCCGTTCAAATTTACCATTTTCAATTTGTAATCGCTCCCATATGGTAGCATTGGAGTTTCCACTTCAATCGACTCGTAATGGTTTGGAGCCTGAGGAGAATAAACTGGCGGCTCCATGGTTTTTTTGCCGGAGTCGCTGATCGCCGCAGTGCGCAATTGTGTAACCAGCTCGGCGCATGCAAAAGTACTAATAGTAAACTTCAAGAATCAACAACTGTTAAATTTTGACAATGTCTAACCACGTGGGTAAACTAAAAAATCCCGCAATGCTCATGCGTTAGAAAATAACCACGCCCCAAAATCACACGCCGCTGAAAGGTGATTGGTGTAAATTAGCGAGACTGTCATCAATCAGTCAGAAGTTAGATTTGTGATGTTTTCTTCTGCTGGGAAGTAGAGTTTTTCCTTACACTAACAATCGCACCCGGGAATCAATTTTCAGTTTTGATGTTTACCAGTGTGGCGTGGTTAGCTATTGGCTGACGTAAAGCGAATCATAAAGCTTTCGTGTGTTTGGCAGATTTTTATGGACATTCCAAGACAAAATTCAATTGACTTACATAATTACGCATCAGGAAAATGGGTCATTTGGCAAATAGCTCGCTCCCGGAAACGCCAAGATCTGTAACAGTGTATTGTTTTCATGATAATCTGAGCTAGCATTTGCAAATGGAATATGAATGATTTTGACAGATTTGCAGACTTGGACACAGGTATTTTTTACGCGTTGGTCTGAATGTGTGCTTCTGCAGACGATATTTGATCAATATCATAGATTAATAGTTAAAAATAGAATGTTTTGGTTGTGAACTTGATTTGTTAAGTCAATTCTGTGTATTATTTGTGAATTCCTCTCTCACGTCGTATGATTTTGATGATAACAGAATTCAGCGACATTGAACAGGAATACGTCAAAATCAAATCTGATTGATCCGTTTTCTACCATTAGTAGTCTATCAGAAGCTCGACTAATTTTCGCTTGGCAGATCACATCGAGTATCAATCAATTTGAAAGAAACAGGACCTAACTTTGTAAATTCATTGGGCATCTTTGTGTGGTGGCAAAAAGCGAGACATAAATACGTTCTTGAACCGTGCTTAGCATTGTAAAACCACATTACACAATGAGAGACTGAGGTGTCAGAATTTCAATTAACGTGAAATAACTCAGTCGCCGTTTTTAATAAATCAGAAACATTCTGAGGAATGAAACTTGAGGAGAAAAGCCTCAATTATTTTGAAAGCTGGGCACGAAAAGCTTTAAATTCTTCTAAACAGTTCTGGCTCTTGTAATTTCTAAATTAAAAAGCGGCAAACTTTACTCGGCATTAATTGTTTTCTGTTCAAACATTTAGCTAAGCAAATTCTAAGAATCCTGTTGGTCGAAATGTGATATTTTTACAATACATATTCACTCAGCGCCAATGTTATTATTGTTTTGTATTCTGTGATTTCCAGCATGATAACACAATTGCCGGCTACCCTTTTGTCACGGTAATTTCAATGCAGGGCTTATTTGCTGATTTGAACAAAAGCCTGCTCTGAACTCAAAACCCCACAGGCAAACGCGCTTCTAGAAAACAAACAAAAAACCCGAAGTTTTAATAAAGCAATGATCTTAACTTAAACAGGATGATGTTTCTTGGCATACATATTGAAGTCATTACCTTTGTTGTCAAGCTAATATCATTTAATTGCCCGATAGTTTTATTCAAAAAACGCTTGTGGTATTCCATTTTAAAATGCTCCGAAGCAAATTCACGTTATCTGTTGAGAAATAGTAAAAAGCTCTGTACATTTTAAGCGAAAAGAAAAATAATCAGACTAAAATTCTTAGCAAACATTGTGTCCAACGGCATGGCAATCGCGAACAGTCAACGTTTCATTGCACAAAATGAAGTGTACCATTAAACAGTTTCAGCTAAGGTCAGCTAAATGATCAGTCATATTCCCAATTCAGGCTGTCTTAAAAGTAACGCCGCAGGGCAAGTAAATCCTGCCGATGTTCAGTAGGCTAAAGCCTCTATCGGTTTGTAATCTTTCAAATCCATTCCTTTACACATACGCGGGTCGATAAAAACACGGTTTCCGGAAATATGTAGATCCTAAGTACCGGATATCGAGGATTTTTCCCTGATTCTCCAAACGCAAAAACGTCGTAAAAGTAGTTAAAATATACATGGGAAAGACAGAAATTCATCCTAGCGGTGGCTCACTACATGGTAACCGAGCGCCTAAACTTTCGCTTCAACGGCCATGATCTTGTTGGTTTGAAGAAAACCATGCCAAACAGCTTTCCCAAAGCTGCGTTACGTTCAACCGGATCCTCAAAAGAGCGCCTTTCTTGGCTTATAGCAGAGCCCCAAAACGTAGATTAAAATATTTGGTTCGGGTGATTCACAAAAGCCTCGATCGATACTTGCAGTCAAAATATGTTAGTTTCGTGGTAGCTGGCTCCAAATTATTTGTTATGGGATTCTTAAAGCCATCGGGTGAATCATTGTACCATTAAGATTAAAAAGGATTGCTCTATAAACGGAAAAACAGCGCTGGACGGAAGAAAACTTCCTGATTTTTTTTTTTTTCGGGCGAACACATGTTTATCTAAAAACCTAAAAACAGGAATTTGCTTTGTGCAATGATAAGAAACTCGATTGACGTGTCGGTAAAGAAGACAAATAAAAGAACTGACAAAGTTCTTTAGTTTAATTGGTTGTGAAAAATGATATATTCTCAAGAGCCTTTCATTGACGGAGCCATAACACAGGTCTGACTGGAAAATCAAAGTTATGTTCCGTGGCGACTCTCACGGATACCGAGTTTATTATAGCACGAGTTGAACTGACAATTGCACTGAGAGAAACTGCCACATATGTTTTCATGGCATGAACAAACATAAACGGAACATATAAGTAGGAATTTCGAGAAAATGAAAGACAATGGAATTGTCCGACACCAAGAAAATAACTATGATCTCGAGCCTACAAGGGAAAATCAGTTTTTGAGATGCAAATAATATTGTGGTATGACAGCTTCAAACGTTATGGCAAGTTTGGGTTAAGAAAGAGACCAATATCGGTCTACTTAAAGTTCTGCTTAGGTGGGCCTATTCATTTTGTAATCTTTAACATTCAAGGAGTAATACATAAGTAACTTTATCAGACCATTTTAATACAGTTTCCAGCAACAGATGATGTAAATCCCAAGTTCCTTTAAGTAAAGTAAAGTACAAGATATGTGTTGCTGTTAAAAGGGAGCATTACTAAGCAGATACTGAAGTCGACGGGTTCATTGTGTTGTCTGGCAACGAAACTTCGTCATTTCTCAAGCATATGACAAGCACAAGTTACCTCAAAAACTGTATGCGAGGCAACGTCAGCTATGCCTTGCAGGGTGAGCTCTCGACGAGAATGCGAAGTACACGCGCGTAAGAGAGCAGACGATAAGTGGATAAGTATCACTCTCGCGACTGCTAGCAACTACTTGGGAGACAATGCAAAAGTAAGAAACGTAAGAGAGGCGATGATAAGTTGATGAAACCTCACTCGCGCGTCTGTATGCCAAGCTCTCGGCAAAGTAACATGAGCGCAAGAAAGCGTGAAATCTTAGTCCTGCGAATGCATGGCAACATCTCGGCGATAATGCAAAGTAAAATGCGCGCAATCCCTCTCGCCAGCTTGGATGACATGCTCTCGACAAGAGTGCAAGATAACATGCGCGCGAGAGAGATGAGGAGCAGATGAAATCTTACTCACGCGTCTTTGTGCCGAGCGCGCGGCAAAAGATGCAAAGTAACACGCGCGCAAGAGAGCCGATGAAATCCCACTCGCGCGCCTGGGTGACAGGCTGTCGGCCGAAATGCAAAGTAACAGGCATGCGAGAGATGATAGGCAAATGATAAGCGGATGAAATGTCACTCGCGCGCCGGGGGGAGGCAAGCTCAGCCAGCCTCAAATGAACAGCGTTTTCTTGTCTTCCAAAAACCCGTTTGAGTCTCTCAGCATGCACAAGTTAGGAATGAATCAATAAAAAGCAGCCTTGTCCTGTCAGATTCGGAGTGAGAGGGTGTCTCAAGGCTAGATCTCACTCATGTTTCATCAAATTCCTGATTGTTGCACGAACGACTTGATGTAGTGAGGAAATAGATGAAAATGAAGATAAGATAGTCAAACTGACCAAATAGCCTCATAACAGAAGACAAAAATGGTTGCTGAAGAATCTGCAAAACGAAACAAACGGGGGCTCAAATCTTTCCGTGCGTGTCCGAACACTTTAATATCTTTAAAACTCGAATTGATTGATTTTTAGAAACACAATGGACTGAAATATGCAATTGCACTCTTATCTAAACATGGGAAATCCCTCGGAGCTGTGTGATTAGGGTTCCTCTCTTGAATAGCCCTCGAGTAAACTGTACTGTGTGGAGAAGTTTCGTGAAAATTCATACCGCCACAAGAAAGAACATAGCAAAGAAAATCAATTCGTGAGGCCAATCAGCTAAACCAGTTCAAGAAACAACGATGCAAATGTATCCTAAGAAATTGCAGAGAAAAATGCACCACAGTTATTGATGATATTTTATAGAAAAATACAAAATTTCGATATCCTTCCTTCATGTCACAGTCTGCCATGAAGAGAGCTACACGCATCGCCGATATCTGATTTCTTAAAGTTTTCAACAGTGACAAACTTTCATGGTTTTTCGTTTGCCTTTACTGGTAAGGCTTTACTTTACTCTTAAGCTGCATTTAAGTACCTGAGCTAAGAGTAATTTCATGGCAAAAGGAAAAGTTCGAAAGAAAACATGAAAATTTCGTACCGCACTCAGGCGTTTATATGGTAACTGATAGCTGAAATCCGTGGTTAATGTTCATCAGATTTACTAAATCTTTGTTTTAAGTTCCTTTTAACACGAGGGGATTATGAGCTTTACAAAGTCTCTACACGAAAGATCCGGCAATAGCCCCGCTTAGTTGAAACAGCAAATGATCGCGATATTCTAACGTACCAGGGGGTGGCTGGATTGAAGATTTCAGTGAATTCCTAGTTTTTCACGTTTATTTGCCCAAATATTCCTAACTTTCATTAATTTGAGCATGCATCTCATAAGGTACTTATGTTAGTATGAACGAGACTTTGCACTTTTAACGTGATTGTACTTTGCGTATTAAAGAAGAGATCAACTTAAAAGAAAATCACCAAATAAATTCGCAAAGTGATAATTCGAGGAGGAACATAGCGATCGCAAATCGGGTAGTTCACATTATATTAGGTACAACATAGTTTTTTAAACGAAGACAATGCGTGCATATCCGGTCAATAATCCTGTAAGAATTAGACACCACCCAATTTTAAGCACTTCTTTATTTTGGGTGCTATCCTCTAGGTATGGGCGCCGTACAATTATCAGTGATGCCTCCCCCAATTTTTAAAGCAATCAGCTTTATGGCGATGTCGAATTTAAAGGTGTCACCCAATTCAGGGTTGAGTTTCACTGTAGACACCAATTACTTTTAGACGCCGACTAGTTTATGGCGCCGTCTATTTTGAGCTTAAAGTCCGATGAGGCCTCGAGCAATTTCGGGCATCATCTAATTTAGGGATGTGTAGCTCATGGCCAAATTCGTGTTTCCTAGAAAACAAACAGTTCAACAAACTCCCGCAGGTTACATTAAACGATCAAATGTTCATCAAAGAAGTGGCCAAACGAAACTATCATTCGATTGAATTCATTATTGTAAGCGAGGCTCAGCGAGTTTTTATCTTTTGTAGACATGATAAAACAAAACCAAATGTTTGGATTACTGGATTGGTAATGTTTGGATTATGAAATTGATGAAATACGAAAAAGAGGTTTCTATCTCATGATCGACCTCAGAACGGGAAGATTGACATGCAAACTTCAATACGGACACTCCCTCAACCCACAACATATCAGAGAAAAGAGAAAGAGATACAGCTTTTTACCAAAAACAAAAAAAAAAAAAAGAAATTCTTTATTCCCTATTAATGAGAAAATAAGAGGCGCTAACCAATTTTACGTATCTAAATCATCTAATAAAAAATTATCTACTTGTGATGTACACTTCATACATGCATAGCTTGTCTCTATCACGCACACTTTGGACAACGTTTTCTTTCCAATCCAAAAGTGATTAACTTGCAACTTCTCGCTACAATAGCCATACATTAACCAGCGAACAAGTAATGAGAACACTTACAGTTGAAAGGTAAACAATTGTAATCTAGTTTCATCCAGTGCCAGATGAGGAGAATAGACTGACCTTTCAGCTACAGGATGCTATTTAGATTCAATACCCAATTCTCTCCACTTATTTACCTGAAAGAGTACTGCAGCTAAAGGGGAGAATTTCTACTTCGGTCTTGAGAGTTCGAGAGTCCATAGCCGATCACCCGACCTCATACCGTCGTTGTTCGTGAATACCAGCCCAATAAAATTCCAGTGGCGGGTCCAGACCTTGAGCAAAGGGGGGGGAGGGGGAGGGGGAGAGGGAGAGGGGGAGAGGGTCCGGTATTTTTGTGCTTGTATACTTGCCGGCTTCTTTTCCAAAAGAGTTTATTTTTTTTATCCAAAATAAGGGGGAGGAGGGACGGGCCATTCCCTAGATCCGCCACTGCATTCCCCTTGTCCAGTGGTGTTGTAGTTTTGAAGCCAAAATTACCCCTTTCCTTTACCAAGGTTAAACATAATAGATCGCAGATTCAGCGCTAAGAAGGCATTCTGTGGATCACAAGTTCGTAACATTTCTTGCACAATGGCGGATATCTGGAAGGCTTCGAAGTATCGGCGATTAGACCTGAAAAAATCGAGTTACTGAGAAAACAGCCCGAAATTGTGGAGCGGAATACATCTGAATGATTCATTAACAAACAAGATTTTTGCTTAAGGAGGAAGATTACATATTATTTTACTTACTTGATTTTCGAGAGTCTTTGAAGAACAATGCTCAACTTTTCCAGTATTTTAGGATCTAGTCCCTTGTGTTGCAGCAGATTCAAGGCCGTCCTAAACCAGAGCTCGTTTGAACAGCTATCCAGAAACACCGCGGTAAATGCTGAGAGTGTATTTATGAGGGGAATTAGTGTCTTTTCGGAAAAAAATCTTTAAAGCCTGTATTGCAGGCGGCGGGGGCACATCTCTCGAATGCCTAGCACGAAGCAAATCTAACTAGCAAGTCAGCTCAAACACCAGTCCATTGACTCGTTTCTTGATCTCTCAATTGTTTCAAATCAAAAACATTAATATCTCGATATCGAACGTAAAAACGTTAAAAAAAAAAAGAAGAAGAAGTAAATAGACAAAAGCTTTCTGAGACCGTGGCTACTTAAGGAAGGCAAATTACAGTTACAAACTACAGCAATGGTTCGTAGACCCGTCATGTTTGATTTTGCTTAAAGTGGACAATGCTGGAGTGAGCTTTACCAAAGCTACTCTTGTTTACAATCTTGTAAACTTCGGAGGAAAAGCTTCTACTTTCTTTTCTTTCCTTCCCTTGATGAAGTGTCGTCCTTTCGATAGCCGCACCCCTTTAGCCGATATTTCAAAAAAGCGCGCTTTCGAAGTTAAAAGAGCGACAAAACCTCCCCTTTACGACGAGCGAATAAATAAGTCCGTAGGCTGTTGAAAATGATTCGTTGGAAAAGGGGCAGGAGTCTATACACCGCATCTGTTTGCCACACATGCTCAAACTTACGTGAATCAACAGACAAAAGAAGCATCACATCGACAGCACTTCCGAGGAGAGCCTGGTAAGGAGAAAATACAGAGCTTTTAGCTAAATATGCCAATTTTCTTCAAAAGGGTCTGGATCCAACCATTTTATGTAGTAATTATTTTGCAGATAAGTAAGTACAACAAATTCTATAAAAAGACCGTATCCCATCTTCTCCACATGCTCCACCTATAACGACCACCTTCGAAAGAAGACTTCAAAATTATAAAGGGGCTCGTCTAACGACACTTCCTTCCCTTCCCTCCCCTCCCACAAATTTAAAACAGATTTGCACGATTCGAGTCACAACACAATTTATTATCCGACTGTGCTTGGTAGAGTAAATACTACGCTCAATACGAGTACAAATATCTCGCGGTATTTGTACTCAAGAGAATCCGCTCTTCAATATATAATTTTCCGCGAAATTCGCCCACACTAGTTACCTGTATTTTGACTTCCCCTACGGGCTCGCCAGAATACGGCACAACTCGTAAAAATACTCAGCGATACTACACAACAAAACGTTTAATAAGATATATGTATATATGGGCTCGCCAGAATACGGCACAACTCGTAAAAATACTCAGCGATACTACACAACAAAACGTTTAATAAGATATATGTATATATATATATATATTAAGTAAGGAGGGAAGACAGAAATCCGCAAAAACCGTTCAAAACATTTCTATATTTCCCTACACTTTTCTAAAAAATAAGTCGATACTTTGTAAATGTCTAGGGTACCTATCCTACAAAGTATTCGGATATTTGAAGAAAGTCCTTTCTAGAGTATATCTATAGACAAAATTATCATTTACTTCCTGCGGTAAGTCAATTCAAACCCGTTCACCTTATGTACAGGTTTCATATATGATAGCACCACGTAGACTCCCTCGTAAGTTAGAAACATCTGCTTGCCCTGACATGGAAAAGAAATGCAAATTAACACATAAAAAAAAACTAGCAATTAAAGGTTAAAGTAAGCCGTGTCAGATTGAGAATTTTTCCGTCATATGAACGGAAAGGTAGGCGGCCAAACCGTCTCCTTAATTAAGGACCAGTCATTTTTTCTAGCCGGCAGGGGGAGGGGGTGGGGGGTCCGGAGGATTTTTGGGATCACATGGTTTTCAGGGGGAACGGGGGAAATCAGTCGTCG